TCTTATAATATGTTCTGCATACAAGTTGAACAGATAGGGTGAAATAATACAGCCTTGTCTGACCCCTTTGCCAATTGGGAACCATTCTTTTTCTTTGTGTTCTGTTCTGACAGTAGCCTCTTTTCCTGAGTACAGATTCCTCATCAGGACTATCAGATGTGCTGGCAGTACCATGTCTTTAAGGGTGTTCCATAGCCTTTCATGATCTATGCAGTCAAAGGCTTTGCTGTAGTCTATAAAGCACATGCTGATTTTCTTTTGGAATTCTCGGGTGTGCTCCATTAGCCATATGTTTGCAATGTGGTCCCTAGTGCCTGTTCCTTTCCTGAATCCCACTTGAATATCTGGGATTTTTCTATAGTTCTATAGTCCTATAGTTGCTGCAGTCTTTTGTGTCTCCCTTTTTGTGGATGGAGATGTATATTGATCGCTTCCAATCTGTTGGCCATCATTTTGTTTTCCATATCTCTTCACGTATGTTGGTTAGCACTTTAGTTGACTCTGTCAATGCGGATTGTAGACGTTCATTTGGAATATTGTCTGTTCCTAGTCATTTGTTTTTCGCTATTTCCCCTATTGCATTTTCCACCTCATTTTTTTAGAATTTGGGGTACATATTTATATGGATCTTCATTCCATGTGTCCTTAATTTTGTCATTTCTTTGGTATAATCCTTCTATGTATTGCATCCAACATCTTTTTATTCCTTCCTGGTCTTGAATTATGTCATTTTTATTGTCATAGATCATCCCAGTCCTTGGTTTGAATTTTCCTTTCATTTCCCAGATCTTGTGAAATGGACGCAAGGCAGCTAACAAAATATTGAAAAACAATACAACCTATACAAATTCAATAATAAAAACATAAATATAAGAGTCATTTAAAAGTGATTAAGACAATTCATGGAGTTAAAACATTAAACACTAAAACATTAAAATCCATTAAAAGGCCATATATAAACACCATCCTAATCAGTTTTTAAAACGTGACAGCATAAAAATGTTTGATTTGCTGATGGAAGGAAAGCAAAGATGCAGCCATCCTGGTCTTCCTAGGGAGGGAGTTCCAAAATCTGGGAGCAGACTCAACTGAGAGTGAAGGCCTGATTCAGTTATCTTTTTGGCAGTCTATGGTAGCCACAGAACTCTTGTCCAGATCTACATTTCAAATGCGTTGATTCCCCTCCTATCAGCTTTCCTCACTGTCCAGTTTTCATAGCAATAAAGAGAAATCAGAAATGCTATGACATGAATGACTCCAAATTTAGTACAGTGGGCCCTCAGTATTCACACACACCCTTCTATGGAGATCAAAATCCATGGATGCTCATACCCAGTAAATACAATGGCACAGTAAATTGGTGTCTCTTACATAAAATGGTAAAATCAAGGTTTGCTTTTTGGAATATATATATATATATATATATGATTATTTTCAAGCTGTGGATGCTTCAATCATGGATAAAAAACATCCATGGATATAGAGGCCTGATTGTATTTAATAATATTTAATGAAACTAGCATTCTCAGATGTGCCAGAATCCTATGGGCCAGGATTGGGAATGCTATGAATCATCCAAATATCATTGGACTGCAAATCCCAGCAGTTCTAGTCTATTGCCAATGGTGAAGAATGCTAGGAGATGTAGCCCAACATGATGCCCATGCTTGCTATTGGTAGCCCCAACTGGAATGACCCATTGACTCAATGGAGTTTACTAAAGAGTTGACTTTCAACAATTATTGTAATCCCTTGGGTCTGTTCTGGCTGGGATTACCAATACAATCTGGGCTGTTTTCCCAAACAAAGCAAGTTAGATTTTTGATAGATTCCAAGAAAAATGGCTTTTAAACTAGAAAAACAAGGCACTCTGTGGTGAAATTGGCTTTTTCTTCAGTTTTTTGAAAATATAATGGGCCCCTACCAAAAAAACCAAAAAAAACCCCATGGTTTAAATGTCACTTAATTCAGCATGACTGATTCCAATGCACCATCCCTGAACAAATTTCGCATTATAACTGACTGACTATATTTTTTAAAAAGCATTTACTGTAATGCCACCTTTCCTTTGAAGAGTTCAGAGCATTTGCATTCTAGCTTCATAACAATCCTACAGTGTGGGCTGAGAATGTATTTACGTATTCATCCCTTAAAGGTAAAAAATCATCCCTTACATTTACACTTACTTGTCCTCTGAGGAGTTCAGGATGAGAAACATACACAAGGGCCATCCAAGATCTGTTGTTGCCTGTAAAGCAGAGCAGCAAATGGCAACTGTCACTCACCCAAATCAATGCTGATGGTACCTAAAACCTACCAGGTTGTTTTCTCTTATGAGTCATAAAATCCCATACATGTCCCCCCCCCCAGCAGTAAAAATAGCATGACAAGAAATAAAGTAATTATTTGGCACCCATTCATGACATTCACAGTCTGCTGCCTGAGGCTGACACCTCACTTAGCTTCATGACAAGGCTGAGTCTTCATGCATTTGTCTTATTTTATTCTCACAACAAGGGAGCTTTGCGGCTAGAAAGTGATTTGAATTTGATTTTGGCTGTTGGTAGTCCTAGTGACTTGGCCAAAGCTGTCCAGGGAAATCCATGGCTGAGCTGGACCTTGACCCTGGGTTTCCACCTAGTGCCTAACTCCTTATTCATCACCCCACATTGGCCTCCTTACCTTTAAGGTATATTTAGTTGTCTCTTAAAACAGTTAACAAAACTCACAAACCAGATAGTATTACATCTATGCCTTCATATAAAAGGATTAATTGTGTGGTTCACTTTTCCTTTGGTTATGTAGATATTTCAGTTTAAAAAACTTTTTCTAATATACTTGGTAACCCACTTACATGCACGCCAGCATAGACTGGCTGAGTCTTCCAGCCAAAAGGTTAATTCTAACTTTACATCATCCTCTAGTTGTCATAGAAACTGTGTTATTACCAACCTTTCTACATGAATTGCTAGAGTTAACTTCACAAGCTTCATTCTAGTTACCATGGTACTGTGTCACCCTAAGTGGATTTCATATTTTTTTCCATTTAGGAAATCATATATATTGTATTATTGTTCCTCTCTGTATCTAATAGAATATTGGATTCATTTCTTTTTTAGCATTGTCCAAATATCTCACTTTAAGCCACCATAGCCAAGCATGGAGAACATGTATCTCCTTCTGGTCAGGCTGCTAAAGATTGATCCTTGTATTGTTGTTATTATGGGTCCTCAAGTTGTTTCTGAATTATGGCAACCCTAAGGCGAACCTATCCTGGGGTTTTCTTGGCAAGATTTGTTCAAAGGAGGTTTGTCATTGCCTTCCCCTGAGGCTGAGAGCATGTGACTTGCCCAAGGTCACACGGCCAAGCAGGGAATCAAATCCTGGTCTTCAGAGTCATAGTCCAGCACTCAAACCACTACACCATACAGCCTCTCAAACCTTTGTGCTTTCTTTTTCATTTTAACTTATGTTTACATACTAAGAGCCAGTGTGGCATAGTGGTTTGCGTGTTGGACAACAACTCTGGAGATCAGGGTTCGATTTCCCACTTGAACATAAAAATCCACTGGGTGACCTTGGGCAAGTCAAACACTCTCAGGCTCAGAGGTTAGCAATGGCTAACCCCCTCTGAAAAAACTTGCTAAGAAAGCCCTGTGATAGGCTTGCCTTAGGGTTGCCATATGTCAAAAATGGCATGGAGGCACACAACAACATCAAGAACAAATATATTACATCTTTTCTTTAGTCTGAGGTGTTAAAGGCAGTATACATGGTTCTCCCTAGATATCATAACTGCCCAAATCTCTGAGGCAGCAGGGCCAATAAGCATATTGGCTGGGAGTTCCTGAAGCAATAATTCAAAGATTTTTTAAAAAAGAAAACTCTAGGAAGAACCATGCAGGCTGGCCTGAACATCTGAGCAAAGGACAGGTATAATAACTGTTAAGTGAAAAGCAAAGCATAAAGGTATATAGGGATAAATCTCAGGCCCGGTGTTCCAAACTTTTCTGCTGCCTCAGGCATGAAGAAAAGCACAGTTAACTCTTCCATCAACATCATTACCACCACCCCTACAGCATTTCGTCCATACTGCTATCACCTGTCCATCCTCCTCTAAGAACAAAATGGAAAGCAAGTGCTCTATGGAGAAAAGCTATGGTGGCCACACAAAGTGGCAAGGCCCAAATGACAGTGGCACGGATGACTTCTCAAGTCACTGCACCTATAACACTTGGCTTGGAGGGCCTCACAGAGTCAGGTGTTTTGGCTCAGGGGAGCAACTCTCTTGGAAGAGGGAGCAGCAGCAGCAGCAGCAGCAGAAACCATTCCAGATGGAGGTTGCAGGGTGATTTGATGCTCCTTGTACATCCCTGCTTGAGGCAGGTGCCTCACTCTTCCTACATGGATGGCCAGCCTTAAATTTTACTTCTGTTTTATCCTCTCACAGCAGTCTGTTGAGATAGGCTCAGAGTAGCTTCAGAGCTGAATGGCAATTTGAACCAGAGTCATGGCATTCATGGCCATTTTTCTCTAACCACTAGATTAGTATAATCCATTCTTTGAGCTAAGATTTATACTGCCTAGCTATTATTATTATTATTATTATTTCTTACCCACCTCTCCTCCATGGTTTGAGGTGGGGAACAATGACAGTTAACAAACAACATTGGTTAAAATACATCCGTTAAAACACACACACAATGAAAGCTGTTCTCTTCTCCCCATGCCTCCCTTTTTGGCATCACCACCTTTCCACCAAATAGCAAGGGTGGAGACAATGGAAATAAGAAACCCTTCTTGCCTAACAGGATTAAACGTCTCACTATTGGGTGTGAAAATGCTGTGTGGGTGCTTAAATGAAGTTGATGGGCCCAATGTATGCAGAGCACATGCTCTACTGGTAAGTTGTGGTCATTCCAATGGATGGATGCAGGGGTTCCACCTCTGAGTGAGACCCTTCTCTGTAATATTTGTTGCTGATGTTGTTGTGTGCCTTTAAGTAATTTACAACTTACGGTGACCCTAAGGCCAATATCATGGGGTTTACTTGGCAAGATTTTTCAGAAGAGGTTTGCCATTGCCTTCCCCTGAGTCACCCATTGGGTTTATGTGAATGGGGGATTGAATCCTGGTCTCCAGAGTCATAGCCCAACACTCAAACCATGACACCACATGTATCTTTAGCATTGCATTAATTCTAGAAATGAGTCTATATCTGCATGTCTAGACCTGTTGCTTGTCCACTGCCACTTAAGAGGCAAGGGGACAACATTCTCTCTTGTGCATTTCATGTATGACTAATATACTGTGATTATATTCAGTATCACTGACAAGCACCTCCAAATCACCAGCCCACAGTGTCACCTATGTTCACTTCCACAGGAATCATCATCATACCCTTAAAATAACTATACTATGCTGGCTACAGATTTCAATGCATCATTGTTACCTGGATACGGCTCTAAATTTAAACTGCAGTCATTCACAAGTTGTTTTACTGATTCAGAAACTTTAGAATTAATTAAAAATGAATAATTACCACCCAGAGTCTAACTCAAAAGTCTTTGGAGACAGATTTTGTGTCTTCTACCATAAAATGAAACCATGGCTAGGCATGTGCATTGTTGTTTATTTTAGGTGCAAGTCCTGCTAACCAATCACGGTGAGTTACTACCAATATCCATAGTCTGGCCGTATTCAGACTTGACTACTGCAGAGAGTTGTGCATGAGTCTACCCTTGAAAACTACCCAGCTGTTTCTTTTGACTCACAATAAGGCAACCAGATTATCAACCAGAACATGGAACCAGTGATAACAATGAACTAATTAAAATCAATTTAGTTGTCAATTAAGTTAGACATTTTCTAGTGAAATAGAGCAACTTAATTACATTTTTTTTCAAACTCTATTGATTGACTTAGGACAGAATTTCAACATTAACTTAATTCAAGAATTAAATTATTAAGTTATTGATTAATTGAATGAAAAGCTGTACTAAAGAGGCATCAATATTTAAATTTCATAGTTAGTTCTTTACCTAAAGCTTAATTTTCTTGGGATTTTTGAATAACTTTTTATTTCGTTTTGTCCACTTTGGTGGACAGTGCTGTGTCACACCCACACAGTCCTTCCTGCTCTCCCCAAAACTGAGCAGCTGAGCTCTCAGCTATATAGGAGACCTATCTTCTATTGCTAATGTTGAAATAAGGTTCAATGGCTAGGCCAGTCAGCGTCTGTAGACAGAATGAAAGAGGCATCATCTTGTCTTTTGTTTTGAGCCAGCCTTATATAGATGGCTGATTTCCAACCAAATTTAAACTGCAAGAGAAGTACTGAAATATCCTACCTTAAACTGAATTTTATATTAGATCAACCCATAACATGTGTAGGACCATTAGATCAACCATCCCACTGATGTCCTAATTCAGGATGTAATGTGCCTGTAACACCATTAACCTCAATTGCATTATCCTAGATTTACCTAGGTGCAATTAAGAACTGTGACATACAATCTGCTTTAGGGCACAAAGCTATCAAAAAGTCCCTTGACATTTCATTCACCCATTTCTGCCTTGTCAGCACTTTGTCCCAAGTATTTAATCCATAATTTAAAAGAGAGCAATCATGTTGAAAAAGTAGGCAGCTATTAGTTTTGTGGAACTGTCCTGAGTATCATTTTTCATATTTTAGGAGAATCTTTCATTTACATTAACTGCAGCATATCCTTCACGTCATGGATTCACTGCTACGTATAAAACTTGTTCTTACTGCAAACTCTGTGAAGCATTTTAATAAATTGTAGATTAAAACTCACCAGACTTTACAATCTGGTGGAAACAGATATTAGAGGGTAAAGGTAGTAGAGCTATCAGAAATAAATGACCCAGGAGAGTCATCACTATGATCAATGTGTCTTCTAACATCTTGTCATTAGTAGATTATCTCAGAAGAAAATCATCCGGGTTTTTTTTGTTGTTGTTGTTGTTGTTTTTAATGGTGATGCACTGCTTCAAGCTGATATTGGTTGCGATCACCATGTTTTAAGTCAGGGATGAGCAAACTGAGACCTTCCAGTTGTTGTTGGACTGCAAGTCTTTCATACCTCATACAGTGAGCCCTTGGTATCTACTGAGGTTTGGTTCCAAGACCCTCAGTGGGTATCAAAATTTGTAGATACTACAATGGTGTAGTAAAATGGTGGCAAAATCAAAGTTTGCTTTTTGAAATTTTTGAAGAATATTTTCAAGCCTGCTTTTCATATAATATGTTCTGCATACAAGTTGAACAGATAGGGTGAAAGGATACAGCCTTGCCTAATCCCTTTGTTAGTTGGGACGGTTAAAAGAACTGTAATTAGACTTGTTTGTGAGCAGCTATTATTGCACATCTTCTCAATCACATGACTAGGACTGCTTCTGCCATCACACTCTCTTCTTGACTCCCCTTTAACCCCATCTCTCTTCTCTGTGCCTTACCCACCATGCCTTTCAGGGTTTTTAAATTTTTATTTATTTTTATTTTTACTTTTTCACTCTACTCTTGCAATTTAAGTTTTAAAAAGAAGAAAAGAAATAGGGAAAAAAATAAAGGAAACAAGCTTACTTGGGAATGAGACAGCATAACTGCCAGTATCGCAATTGCCCTGAAAGCAATGTTTTGCACTTGGGTAGGGTTACCATATTCCAGTCCCCTATCAGTGAAAAGAAAGACTTTGGAAACACTGCAGCTATGGGTTAGATGCATTGCCATGCAATAAGTATCACTAAAGGCACCTTTTTCCAGCTATAATCACAGTTTGAAACCCACATGTGATAAAGTCCTTAGTGTAGTCATTTTGGCTTCTAATGGGAATGTGGGGGTTAATTTGCTGTTATACTTATTTATTTGTCTTTATGAAAGTGCACTCTATCTATAGCACTCCCCTCTAGCACAATGTTTCAGATGAGCTGATTGTGTCTCTGTAACCTTTCTCCTTGCCCAGCGTTTCACATCATATAAATTGGCTGTTTTACAGCCATTAAAGATTATGAAAAAGGACAGTTATCTATTACTAAACACACCAGCAGATCACAATACAGTACATGGCTAATATTTGTATGGTCTGGAAACTCCCAGTTTATTAAGTTTTTGCGTAGTGACATCAAATCAAAGGAAATGTTAGTTTGACCATTCTCTCTAACATCTTCAATCCACCTTGAATTATACTGTTTCAATGCTAGGATAGCCATGTGTGCTGTTTTACAGGTGATGTGCCTGTATTTGGAAAACTCTCCAAGTCTGGGTTGAGTAGTGAGAACCATTAGAAGGGAAAGCAGAGGGTCTTGGAGTTGCCCTGAAACAGCTAGCACCTTGTTCCTCCTATGGTGAAACATCTATACATGGGGAATACAATGGATTGGATAATTTTAACTTTAGTGCTTAGTTGTATGTCTTTACTCTTGAGGATCTATTCTAATTCTTTCATGGCTGCCCTTCCCATTCCTCGTTTTCTTCTTATTTCTTGACTACAACCTCTGTTCTGATCAGAGTTTGATCCAAAGAATGAGAAATCT